TCCATGAAGAATTTCTTCCTAATGTCCAGGCATCGTGAGCTGGAGATGCTCGCGAGTTGTGTTTCCTAGAAATCACAGAGGACACGGCTTAGGGTGGCTTAGCTTTTCTAGATCAAAGCATGTCCTGTCTGAAAATGAAAAAACAACTAAAAAAAAGTTCTGCATGTGCCAAGAAAGATAAGAAACAAATGTGGGGAAATCCTCAATTTTTTGCTGTTTCTAAATGGCTCTCTAAGGTTTACATTTGGGAATATTTCCCTTTCTCTCTTTGCCAAACTCAAACCTCGCCTTGACACTGTGGCTGCAGGGAGGTGACTCTGGGCAGGACTGGGGCGGGGATGTGCTGGGGCAGGGTTGGAGGTTTTTCACCTTCTCCCTGTCCCTTGTGCTCGGCCAGGTGCTGTCTCACAACCTCTACACGGTGCTGTGCATCCCCCACGATCCCGTGGCGCTGGAAGAGCATTTCCGCGATGACGATGACGGGCCGGTGTCCAGCCAGGGTTACATGCCGTACCTCAACAAATACATCCTGGACAAGGTGAGCCCCTTTGGCCATCCCCTGCCCCAACCAGCTGCATCTCAGGTGGGGACGCCGCGGCGCCGGGTCTCACTCTTGGCTCCGCTCCCCTCTACTCTTGGAGATCTCGCGCCTCGATGGGTGGAAGAAGGATACAGAGAGTTGGGGAGTGCTCAGGTGAATGCCGAAATGAGTGAGAAATGTTTAATATTCGGTGTCTCCTTGGCAAGGTTGAAGTCAGCCCTTTCCATCCAGCTTTGAAGGGAGATGTATCTCTGCCCACATTTCCTAAAGGGCTCAGAGAAAGAAATCAGTCTTTTTTAACCCTCCACCCCTGTTCAAATTTGAGGTGTGGCCTCATTTGGCAAAGAGGAGGAGAGGGAGGAGGACGAGGTGCCGGGGCAGGAGCAGACCTTGAGGTGGGCAGGGGCTCTCTCCCTTATTGACGTGTGGCTCAAAGGCACCTTTGTTTGGCACAGTGAGACTTTGCGGCTGGGTGCTCCTTTCCTCCAGGCATGTGAGGAGAGGAAAAATGACTGACAGTTTTCTTCCACCCTCTGCTTGAGAGAATCAGGGGCCCGGAGCTGGGGCAGTAACCCTTCCCTCCCCTGCAGCTGAGCTGTGCCTCTCCCCAGGCTGGTCCTTGCCTTGCCCTGAGCTGGTCGGGAGCTGCCCAGCCCAGTCCAGGGATGCTGATCTCAGCTGCTGGGATCTGGTCTGCAGAGAGCGAGGGCAGAACCTTCCCCAGCTCCCTCTGGTCGGGGCAGGCAGCTGCCCAAGGTCAGCCCAGCCCAATCTCCTCTTCGCAGAGCAGCCAAATTCCTTCCAGTTTCCCACGTGGTTCTTTAGGAGCTGACCTTTAAACCCTTCTCTTCTGTTTTCACCATGGCTACTAAAATCTCAGAGGCAGCCCAAGAAGGGGAAGTGGATTTTCCTAGTAAGAGGGACTTGCAGCTTTCTGCCACCCAAAGGTTCTTCTCCGGGCTGGTTTCTTCCTGCCTCTGCTGCTGCCTGCCCACGGGCCGTCGCTTCCCGTCGTTGAGCCCCGGCTTGTCCTTATGGTCAGATTGGATAAGGAGAATGACCCAAAGCCATTTGGCAGTGGGCTTGGGATGTGCTTCACCATGAGGTTCCTGCTGGTGCTCCAAAGCTCGGCAGGACATGGCTGAGCCACCGTGGCCGTGTTACAGTGCAGAGGTCCCGTAGCATCTTCTCTACGGCCAGGATGCCTTGCTTGTGTAAGGGACATGCTGGGGACACCCGCTCTGGCATCATGGAGCAGTGCCCACCAGACGTGGGTCCCATATATCAATCGCTTCGTGCTTCTCACTGGAAGGGACAGGAGATTTGTCCCCCTGCAGAACCCCCCGTCTGCAGCCCTGCAGCACCACCTCACCCCCCTGACTCCTGCCCGCAGGTGGAGGAAGGTGCTTTTGTCAAAGAAAACTTTGATGAGCTCTGCTGGACTCTGACGGCGAAGAAGAATTACAAGCCCGACCGGAATGGGAACAGCGTTGTATCCCACCAAGATGCCTTCAAGCTCTGGTGTCTCTTCAACTTTCTGTCTGAAGACAAATACCCTCTTGTCATGGTGCCAGACGAGGTAGGACCTGCTTCTCCCTGACCCCGTCCTCATCCTCCCAGGGCTCTGTGCACCGGCAGAGCCCCATTTTGGGATGATGCGTCCCATTATCACTTCCTGGCATGTCCCATCAAATTCTGCAAGTTGTGGTGCTCCAGGGTGTGAGAGGGAGCAGGTCAGGGTGGGAGGAGGGGGATGTGTCCCGCAGGCACCCCCTGCTATGCCCACGGCCACCCCGCTGCCCAGGGAGAAGGGGGTGACTTGACAGCGGTTGGGAGGTCCCTTCTAAAACGCTGAAGTTTCTCACATATGGGTGTGTTGGAGCATGAGGTGTGGGCTGGTCCACGTTGCTCTTCCATGGTCCAAGCCTACGCCAATGAATTCTTTTGTCTGCTGCGAAATGAATGTGCCAGTTCTCAGAGCCCCAGCAGAGGAGTGTCCACAGCTCAGCTCCTCTTGGGGCTGGTCCCTCCCCTAAGCCCTTACATCTCACTCAAGGGTTGAGTTGAGCGTGAGGGTGGAGGAAGACTCTTGATTTTCATGGGGGGTCATGAGAAACCCTTAAAATCTGGTGTGATGAGAGTTTCCTTCCCGTGAAATCACTGTCAGGCTGGACAGGGCTGTGTCCCTCCGCCCCGTGCCACCACAACAGCAGTGGCAGAGCAGTCCCAGTTGTCCCTCTCCCTGCCTGCTGCCACCACGTGCTCACTCCCTGCCCGGCATCCGGAGAGTTAAGAGCAAGGTTGCCCTGGCTTGCCCTGCAAAGCCGCTGGCAATAAGCTCCAAATCTCCAAATTCCACCCAGCATTTAGAGGGGGAAGTTCTCCTTTTTCTGCAAGGGGGTCAGATCAAACCCCAAAGAGAAGGTGGGCAGATCTGGGCAGGAGTGACAAGCTCAGAAGCCAAGAGCGGCCTCACCAGGAGGAGCTCAGCTGAGCAAGTCTACTTCGACACCATCAACCTCCTGAGATCAGCAGAAAAGCAACTAAAAGAAAAAAAGCAAGAAGCTCAGTGCTGCGCAGACGTAGGAGGGCGACCGCACTTCCTGCTCCCCGGGAGAGGTGTTTCCTGTTCCCCAGACCATGACAAACTGAATCATCTTCTGCTTACAAGGGTGAACTTAAAAAAAAGAAGCTATATTAAGTAGCTGGGTGCAGGGACTCTGCTGTGTTTCACCCTTCTGCGTGTCTCTCTGCAGTCACTCACCCCTCGCAGTCCCTAGACCACAGGTAGAGGAGACCTGGCAGCAAAACTTGAGCTGAAATAAGTCTTCCCAACATCACGTCAACTGTTTTAGGTCTTTTTTTGAAGCAATTTATTTACAGTTTCAAAATGATGCTCGTCTCCTCCTTAGGGACCTCTCCCCTGCTCCTCCCCGGTGTTTTTACAACTTCAGTTAGAAACCAGAGCAGTGCTGGGGTCAAGGCCACGGTCGGAGACACCTGGAGGCGGGCTGTGTGTGGGGGACAGCAGCCTTGGTCCTTTCTCCCTCAGGCACTTGGCTTCTGCAAAGTTTCCTCACTCTGCAAACAAGCCAAAAATATCTTAGTTTTGTGGTTAAAAGGAAAAACCTCACAGTAGTGGCTCAAGATCTAACCCAATGTCAACCTCCTGAGCCCGTCTGCTGCCTGGGGCACCTTGGCCATCGCCAAGGATAAAGGTCTCCAGGCTGGTGATACCTCCAGGCTGGGAAGAGATGGGGTCTCGGTCTGGTCAAAATGGGCTGGTGGGCTGGGTTTGCTGAGTTGCCCGTCCCCACAGGTGGAGTACCTGCTGAAGAAGATCTGCACGGCCATGAACGTGGAGCTGAACTCCTGCGAGCTGGATGACTACCTCTCCCAGGAGCCGCAGGGCCAGGGCGGGCTGACGGTCTGGCAGTTCCTGGACATGGTGAACTCGGGGCGGTTCCTGCGAGGCATCGAGCAGGAGGCGGTCAGCATGGCTGTGGAGGAGGTGTACCAGGAGGTCATCGAGGACGTGCTCAAACAGGCAAGGAGCCCACGTGTCCCAGGGCACAAACCCCATCCTTCTCCCCCTGCCCTGTTTTTGATCGCCGTGTCTCTCGGGCTCAGGGCTACCTCTGGAAGAAGGGCCAGCTGAGGAGGAACTGGTCAGAGCGGTGGTTCACGTTGAAGCCCAGTGCCCTGTCCTACTACATGAGCGAAGAACGGAAGGAGAAGAAGGGGAGCATTGTGCTGGACAAGCACTGCTGCGTGGAGGTACAGCCCACGCCACGCTCAGCGCGGGGTCAGGAGACCCAGGAGATCCCTTTCACGCCCCAGGATGGGGAGAACCCAGCAACTTCACATCCATGAGCCTGGAAGAGCCAATCTTATAGCTGAAGAAAGTAGCGATAAGGTGGGGGACAGGGAGGGAAACTCTGACCTGTGTCCTCTCCCTGCAGGTGCTGCCCGACCGCGACGGGAAGAGGTGCATGTTCTGCG